TCCTGCACCTGGGATGGGGTAACCCCCAGTATCAATACAGCCTGGGGGGAGAAAGGATTGAGAGCAGCCCTGCCGAGAGGGACTTGGGGGTGCTGGTGGATAAAAAGCTGGACATGAGCCGGCAATGTGCCCTGGCAGCCCAGAAGGCCAACCGTACTCTGGGCTGCATCAGGAGGAGCGTGGCCAGCAGGTCGAGGGAGGTAATTCTGCCCCTCTACTCAGCTCTGGTGAGACCTCACCTAGAGTACTGCGTCCAGCTCTGGAGCCCTCAGCACAAGAAGGACATGGAAGTGTTGGAGCGGGTCCAGAAGAGGGCTACTAAAATGATCCGAGGGCTGGAGCACCTCTCCTATGAGGACAGGCTGAGAGAGTTGGGCTTGTTCAGTCTAGAGAAAAGAAGGCTGCGGGGAGACCTGATTGCGGCCTTTCAGTACCTAAAGGGGGCCTATAGGAAAGAGGGGGAAAACCTTTTTAGTAGGGCCAGCTGCGTTAGGACAAGGGGTAATGGTTTTAAACTAAATCGGGGTAGGTTTAGGCTAGATATAAGGAAAAAATTCTTTACAATGAGGGTGGTAAACCACTGGAACAGGTTGCCCAGAGAGGTAGTGGAGGCCCCATCCCTGGAAACATTCAAGGCCAGGTTGGATGGGGCTCTGAGCAACCTGATCTAGTTGGCGGTGTCCCTGCTGACTGCCGGGGGGTTGGACTCGATGACCTCTAGTGGTCCCTTCCAACCCAAAACATTCTATGATTCTATGATTCTATGATTCTTGTGCATTTGTCCCAATTATGGTACTGTTGCCCAGGCAATATGGGTCCTGTGTGACAATACTGATATGGTTATATAGATATACTGGCCTTGCAAGGTTCCACTCCTCAAAAGGTACCTGAAACTCCCTTCCAGTTATCAGGTTCATCCTGGTTGCATGTTGATTCCCCTATGCAGTTGGCAAGACAAAACATTGTGCTTTAGCCTTGATTCTTTTCCCTAGTTACAGTTAAGCCTAAGCATGTTCTTATCTTGTAGACAGACTCTGCATATCAGAGTAAGGATTTTTTTCTCACCTTATTTCTATGCTTGCACAACATCCTGCTCTCTTAGCCGCTAAACTAAAATTATCAGGTGGTTACCTGGTTTTCTACAGAGACCTTAGCTGATTATGAGGCCCCAGATTCCAGTGGGACCTCTTGCTGAGTCATCTGACTGCTTGATGGACTCATCCTAATGTTGTGCTGCCTTGCTCGATGGTCGCAGGGTGTGTGGCTGTGGGGGTAGCATGTGCCTGTTTACTGGGGGTGAATGTGCCCATGTATATGATACCAGACATAAAAGATTTGCCATCTCACTGTCACTGTTCTTGTGAGCTCTCTATAGGAGCTGAACAGGCTTATTATGGAGCTAGTGAGAGATCCCTTTGAAGAGGGAAAAGAAATGTGAACCTTGGGGGGGGTTTCAGGCTTATTCTATCTTTTTATCTCCGTTTCCCACCTTGTTACTGCTGTGCTCTGATTACATTTAAATGAGGAGCTGCTGCTTTCTTGCACACAGGAAGTAGAATGCCCAATTCCTAAATACAGGGGTAAAAACCTTCCAAAACCAGGTGTCTGAATAGGGGGAAGCGGGTGGTTTGTGCCGAGTACACATCTCTTTCGAAAGAGCAGCTCTGATCAGGGTTTCTGTCACTGCCACAGCTGGAAACGTGAGAAGGTGAGCTGACTCTTCCACCACCGGTTTGTAAGAAGAGAGCCATCTATCGTTCACCATCAGACAGTTCTGTGGGGGTACACATCCAGGAGTTAGTAGGCATTTGCTGAAGTATTGTGGATGCCCTGGCTAACACTAGTTAGGTCGCCTAAAAGAGGCTGGAAAAATGTGTTCAGGGTTGTAAAACAGCACTTTTGTAAAAGAGTAAAACACTCTTTTGAGTGGGACTTTTCCTAAGCGTGGGCTTAACAGTGATTTTCTTATGTTTAAGATCAATGGATCTGTCCAGATGGAGAGTGCGCTCCTGTACACCTTCCTGGAGGTATCCTCTGACTTTAAGTTTAGAGAGCAACTGTATTCCCTGCAAAGCCAAGGGATTGTGCCTTTCCCAGAAATCTCTGTCCGTGGCTGTGATGATGTGGAACTTCAGACCGATGGCAATCGAAGCGGCCACTTGCAGAATGGTGAGCTAGGTGAGTACTCTTTTCTCCATCGTACATGTCTCTCTGAAGGTGGTGGCTTTTCTTTCCCCTTTTCCCATCTTTGCTGCTGGTCTGTGTCAGAGGAGCAATATTTTCTCTGTTGAGAAACTAAACAGCATGGCTGGTGTTGGTTGGGATTTTAACACTTAGGATAAGAGAGCTAGTGCTTAGCACTTGATCTCCCCATGGATTTCTAGAGCACCTGTCACCCTGGGGTGTTGTCTGCAGCACATCAGACAAGGGCCACGAAGCTGGTATTAATGATTGCTGTCCTTAAGGAGCATGATACTGAGCAGTTAAGTTAGACCTCACGTTGCTCCTCAGGGAGTATCAGTACTTGAGCTAGGATTTTGGAACAACTCTTGTTCTGGTGCTGAGTGAATCCTGCTCTACTAGTGTGGTAGAAACTGTTCCTCAAATAGTTTCTGGTACTGCTTCTGCTTCACTAGCCACCATCTCTGCAGGATGGCTATTGCCCCTGGCCCAGGATGTGTCATCTGGCACACTGACCTAAGCAGGGTGAGGAGGAACTGCTATGGTAAATAACCCTCCCTCATACAAATTTGCATAGGTCTCATGCCCAAGTGACTATGGGAAGCTTTGCAAAAAGGAGATAGGACAAGGGGTAATGGTTTTAAACTAAAGGAGGGTAGATTCAGACTGGGTATAAGGAAGATTTTTTTTTTTTTTTTTTTTTTTTTTTTACAAGGAGGGTGCTGAAGCACTGGAACGGGTTGCTCAGAGAGGTGGTGGATGTTCCATCCCTGGAAACATTCAAGGTCAGGTTGGATGGGGCTCTGAGCAACCTGATCCAGTTGAAGATACCCCTGCTCACTGCAGGGGGGTTGGACTAGATGACCTCTAAAGGCCCCTTCCAACCCAAAACATTCTATGAGATGCTGTGTTTTAGATAGTGCTTAAGAAACAAGTGCTGACACTAGTCACTTGAGAGAGCATGCATGATTTTTTTTAACTTCCCATCTCTAGGCAGGGTGTTGGCTGTAGCTGTCCTGTATAAATTTTGGTTGGAGATATTCTAACTTTCCCTGTAGTGGGGTTTTTTTTGGGGGGGAGCACCTAAACTACAGATAAACTGTTTGCACACTCTCTCTGGTAAATTAATAGGGTAAACACAAGGAAGTTGTAATGCATATAGCAGTCAAAAATACACTATGATTGGGGGTGCGGTGGGAAGGAGGTTGCTAATGGAGATGGGCAGCATGCTATGGGTCAGCTTACCTGCACCGGACATAGCCTGACTACAGCCTGCGAACTAAATCCTGCTGTGTGTGTTGGCAGTGCTTGACCCCGAGGTAAATGAAGAAGTTATCCGGATCATTGCTGCTCAGCTCGCTGAGATTGGAGACCAGTTTGATAAAGAAATCAAGGCAAGAGTAGTAAATGATCTAGTGCAGCACTTTCTGAATGAGAACCTGTCTAGAGAGGTGAGTGAAAAGCAACCTGATTAGCAGTTCCCCTCTTAAATGTACTGTATCCTTCCCACTGTGACTTTGAAGCAGCAAGCTTGCAACAACTGTATCTTTGCTAGTTTGCTGCTTTAATTATCTTAAGCTTAAAATTCACCCCAAACACTTAACTTTGAAGAGTTATTAGAGGTGATACTGTATCCTGTGGCAGCTGTTGCCCTGCAAATTGGGCTCATCTCCTTTCTGCAGATGGTGAACTTGAAACAGTTGTGGAGAAGAGCTGACTTTTAGAGGCATTTTGTTGACCCAGTGGCTTATCTTTGAAAATCAACTGTCTGGTTAAGGCTTAGTATTTGTCCTTAAGGTCTTTAGTGCAGTGTCCTGTATGTCTGCTGCTCGTCATGTGGGTAAAACTTGAGCAGCGTTACTGCCAGAAGCTTGACTTGTGCTTGCTACTGAATACTGAAGAGGCAGCAAGTGGTGAGACCCTTCTCTAGTGCCACAACTGCTTAGCTCGTAGGCTGTCAGTGTTGGGAGTGGCAGTGGGATTTGGCCTGGCTGGGTGACCTGCTGAGCTTATCCCCTTGATCTTCACTGTGTTTAAGGTGGGTTGCCATTTCCTGGAGCCCCAGGATTCCAGTGCCATTTCAGAACTTGGCAGGCTAGGTGCAAACCCTGGGGAGGAGAGGGACTCTTACACCCTGAGTAAGGTGCTATCTAAATTTTTTTCAGTGGTATGTGTGGTGTCTCCCTTTCTTTTTGTCTTTGGTGAGCAGCTGAGCTCAGAGAGAGTCATCCTTATCGCTGTGCGTGTAACAGGCAGGCTGCTGTGCCCGGGAGGGAGGGGAGCAGCATCCTGTGAGGTGTTGGAACAAGCACATCGGTTACCAGCACAGTGCAGGCAGGCTGTGCTGGGAGCCCTTTCTCCCACAGCTGCTGCACTGAGATCCCTCTTTTCCTTCCATGCAGGAGATAACCCGGTGCATGTCAGAGGCAGTGGAAGGGCTTGCACGAGCCATCCCCTTGGACATGGAAAAGGAGAAAGCCATGTTAGTGCTAGCAATGGTCTTAACTAAAAAAATTGCAAACACAATGCCCTCCCTTCTACAGCATGTCTTCAGCACCACTGTGAACTACATCAGCCAGCAGCTCCACAACTACATTGTCAGAATGGTGAGTGCTGTCACAGCTCCGTGCGAGTCACAGCCAGCCTCTTGGCTGGCCTAGGTTGTTCCTGGAGGAACAGGCCTAGCTCTGAGCTGCCTGTGGTCTGTGGGTTTCCCTGTAGTGCTCTGGAGGTTTGGCCAGAAGGGAATGCCAGTCCCTGTGGAGCTCTGAAGGTTGATGTGCTGAGGGAGGCAGGCTTGAGGGGGACGTGGCACAGCTTCGGCTTGCCCTCCTCTCCCAGCAGCCAGGGAACAGGGGGTGTTAAAAAAAAGAAATTCCTGCTCTCTTCCCTGCAGCCTCCTTGGGGAGCTGTGCTGGTAAGACTGGTGTTAATCATGCCCTTGGGAAGGGAAAGCCTGACCTGAGCTCTAATGACTGTTTCCCAAATGTCTTGAGCCTGAGGTCTCTGCTCTCATCTTGGTGGGCTCCCCAGAGCTTGGCAGAACAGGGAGGGGAAAGGAACTGCCCCTGAGAAACAGCACCAGCAGAGGAACAGCGGGAAATGGTCAAATGGGAAATGGCAGCTTCATTCTTGTTCTGTTGGAGCTGCAGCATAGGTGGGGAGACTACATGGCTCGCAGTCAAGCCCAGGCAGGGGCTAGGGTGTCTGGCCCAGCTTCAGTAACTGGCCTGCTGGGGGAGAGGAGGAAACCCCTGCGCAGACAGACACCCACACACCCCCAAGACAAGGTGGTACTTAAGAGTGAGACTCGAGAGGGGTCAGGGCTGTCATCCTGCCACCCGTGGAGCAGCAGCCATCCAGTTGTGGGGTCTGTGGGCCACCCCAGTGCTGCAGCCTTGCCCTAGGCTGGGTAGGCAGCAGCCAGTGGAGGGGCCCAGTGAGGCGCAACGGGGCACTGCCCTGCTCAGCTTGGCACCGGGCTAGCCCAGAAACCCGGGGCTAGCCCAAGAGAACCGCAACCCGCGCTGCCTTGCGGCCCTGCAGAGCGCAGCCC